TATTGGCAAAACTCTTCCTCTGATATGTAAAATTTCCCTTCTAAGACAGTGTAAAATAAAACAGTGGCGCAAATTAAGTGTTCATGAACGGAGAGTTTTGAACAATATAGTTAGTTGACAAGTAAAATCGTCTGGTGTTAAACAGAGTAAAATAATGAAGTAGAGTGCATCAGGGAGCTTTGCCAGAGGCGTCCTTAGACAGCCTTCAACTCGATCAGGTTGAGCTGCGTCCTTTGTGATTCAGCTGCAAATAGGGATGATTAGCACACCCCCGGCACTGTCTTACTTACTTTACTTGCTTAGAGCCAGCTTTTTTCGGAGCCAATTTTTTGCCTGATCATTTGGTAAAACCATCAAACTCAGGGCCGTCGCTAGACGCGATAATTCGTGGGGGGGGGGTATATTCATATATTATGTTTACACAGGGTAAAAACAATCGCTTTCAAAAAAAATCCGTCGTGCAAATCACGAATGTATGAATATCCATGCACCCCCCCCCCCCCAATTAGCGGTCTAGCTACGGCCCTGATCAAAATATTACAACCATTATTTTTATAACTGGTTATACATTTACATCATCAGGAAAGTAAAAGTTACCGATACAAGTCACACTGGAATAGTTTAAGTGACTAGTTTAATAGTTACAAAGTTATTTTAAAAAGTTTGTAACTAGTTATACTGTAGCTGCATGCGCTAATTATACATGTATGTCAAACATATTAAAATATTCCAAGCAAAAGCTAGCCTGCGTAGCAGCTCTCGGGGAAAGGAGAGCCTGCACGAGATCTACTGTTTTCCCATTTCCGCCCACTTAGCCTGCGGGGTACGCCCACTTTCAACAGATGTCCAAATTGGCCAATCACACTGACTGTTTATGTTTGCAAAGTTACTTGTCAAAATGAAATAATATAGATTACTTTATGTTTGCAAATTTCAAAACGAAATAATAAAATTGATTTCTGTGGGAATAGCGCTAGATCTAGAGCAATCTCCATCGTTGTCACAAGTAGTTTGCAGTCCGTATGCGAGAAAGCTACGAAATATCGTAGATACGTACAAATATAATTAGTTTCGACAGCGGTCAACCGTGATGTATTAAATGTTAAAGTTTCGAGCGATGCGGGAAGAGAAAGGTGTCTGAAGCCATTGCTCCAGAGAGAGCAAGTCCTGTTCACAAGCATTCACAGCAATTCTCTCCTGGCACACAGGGACGTCGCGAAGCCATCAACATTGGGGGGGGGGGTCATGTTTTGACCATTGACATGATTTCTTAGGATTTTGACCAAGTCGTACAAATTTTTCCAAAAATTTTGTCGACGGGAGGGGGAGAAGTAAAAAAGTTTTTCAGGACAAACATAGGCATATTCAAAAAAATTTTCCGGACTAACAAAAGCGTATTCAAATTTTTCCGACAGGAATAAGCAAGGCTTCCAATTTTTTCACCGCAAACATAACAAAAACTTTAAAACTGTTATAATTGCGAACCATTTCATAACTTTGAGTAACTTCTACCATCTTTTATCCCAAACTTTGACCAAATTTTTCCGAGTTCTACCTTCAAACTTAAGCAAATATTATTTCCATTTTGACCAACTTTAAGTAAATATCACTCCTACTGGACCACATCCTTGTTCACCGCTGACCTGTTTGCGGGAACCCCAATAACAATACACACCCTATAGCGACGTCCCTGCTGGCACAAAATTATTAGCTACAAAATCATGAAGAAAAAATCTATTTGTCGTCGATGAAAGCGAACACGCTCGTGCAGGGTTGATAGCGGTCTTTGAAATCCTTGAAAGTCTTTGGATTTGAATTCAGGTCTTTAAGGTCTTTGAAAAGTCTTTGAATTGTGTGAAAAGCGGAGAATGTCTTTAAAAGTCTTTAAAATTAATTCTTTAGTGAGTATTTGATTATACGATTTCCTATAGCTAATAAAATAGATTGATTGAAGAGCAAGATTTTCGCAAATATCGACGAAAAGGTACATTTTAAGATGTGATGTGGCGGGACTAATTACTGGGTGAAAATGGTGCTTATGCTCGCAATTTTTCGACAGCTGGTTGCTCTAAAAGTTCTGTGAAAAGTCTTTGAAAATAGGCAGTGAAAATAGGTTTTGAAAGTCTTTGAATATTTTTGGTCTTGGAGACTACGAACCCTGTCGTGAAAGAGACGCTGTTAGCAGACAAGAATCAACGAAGACACCACAGTCAATATCTGTAGACTAGAGCTTCATGAACAAAGTTCATAAATACCTTTATTGTTCAACCGTAAATCGTGGCCTTCAAGCTCTTTTGAATGCAAAACTCAAAGAAACATTCTCAACCATGCATCCGCCGTGTTTGTTCATAATTTTAGCATAAATTAGCATATTTTTTCATTTTGAACCAATCAGATTTCTCGTCCTCTGGGATAACGAGTAAATACGGCATAGCATGGGGTTTGTGCAGGCTGTCCTTTCCTTGACAGCCGCTATGCAGGCTAAGCAAAAGCAAGAGTTGGACTATGATGTATGGTTGAGTTATGTCAATTGTTAACACAAAGTGAATTACAATTATTTTAACCAGAAAATGATCTTCAAAATTGCGATCTGTCATTGAGCGGCAGTGATGAAAATTGACATCCTGCGGAACTGAACAGCTAGTCTTTTCACGTGCTGCACTTGCATGCAGGTACCAGTGAGTTCAGTTCAATTAGATTCTAGCGCAGCTTCCGCCATCTCGCACTGCAGCGGCATATGAAAAATAATGAAAAATTGTGCGCAAAATTGAGCAACAACTACAGTATTATCTTAGCTGTGTGTGGTCGCAACTTGGGATAAAATCTTTTTTCCATCAGTTGGATATCGCTGATATAAAGTAATTACGCTGCTCTCAATGCCAGAATGTAGTTAGTTATCATTTACAATTAGAAGTTACCTTCGCAACAAGTACCAAGCTACAGTACCCCAAGATTTAGTTAAAAATTAACGATTTCGCGTCTAACTAGTTACTTGTATTGAAGTTACTCACAGGACTGTCACTGAGGTACGCTTAGGTTGGTGCATTGAGATACATTGCTATTTCTAGGACTCTACAGCTAGTAATTGTATTAAAGAGTGGCAAAGTGCAGATCTTTTCAATGGCATGATCGCTGTCGCGTACTCCAGCTATCTTCCTTGTTTTGTTCCAGAAAGAGGACTTACAGCACACCTTAGCCATTTCAGTTAATCAACAGATGGCTGTTTTTGGAATTTTTTCCTCAGGTGAGGTTTATAAAAACTTTCATTTTTCCCTTTCTGAACAAATCCTACCACTCTGTTACTGTAGATTTTAGGATCTTATCTATCTGTCACTCCCTACCACTCTCTTCGGTGGAACCAGGAGGGCAATTATCTGTCACTCTCTTGCTTCGTACAAAATCGAGGTCACAAATCCAGGCCATTGTTTTTTCCATTGTATAGGTATAGGCATATTTTTTAATATACGATGTACAGTAAGTTTATCACAATGTACAATCAGTATAAGGAGCAAGACAACGTATAGCCTATATATCGAAGAACTAGAACCTAACTCGATTCCTTCAGTATTATATACTGTAGATGTTATAGGCTGCATGATACCTATGATGCCCCTATAAAAACGTTAAGTCGTCACGAAAATATTTCGTGCACTTGAATTGGATAAGATTCACTAACAATCCCCGTTGACTCGATATCTCAATGGGCAGAGCGACGGTGTAGCTATAGATAACGATTTTTTTTTACTCTGCGGCGGTGTCAAAATAATACGAAACTAGTTTTTCATATCTCGCAGGATGAGTTCTGAAACGAAAGTTATATATACACATTTAGTTGTTTTCAAATTTTTTTTATATTTATAGATTTACAATGTTTTAGCACTGAGACCGTGCATGAATTCCGAAGCGAGTGAACTGGCAAGGTATTTCAAAACCTTACTTCCAAGTAAATGTTATTTATATCTTCACACTTCAGTGTTTCAGCAAAATGCGCTTCCTTTGTTATAATAGAGATCTTACGATGTAGGACGGCAACGCAACGACAACGGCCAAAATATACTGTTTGGTTAGCTTGAAATTATAGTGGCTTTATTGTTGAGAAAGTTCCACTGTAGTACTGAGTATCACTTCTCGCGTCTGAGTATCTCTTCTCGCGTCTTGAAATGCAGGCATTTTATCCAAAACGTAACTGTGCTATAGTCTATAATAACATCATAGAGTTGTACTGGGGCCGGTTGTTCACGCTGGATTAGCGCTAAACCATGGGTTAAAAATTGACCTGATGTTTTGGTCTGGGTGCATACTGCGCTTCCGTTAAAATAGAACTTCTATTGAGCCAACAAGAATTCTGGAAGACTATCTTCATATTTTTAAACATGGAAATTATCGAGTGGAAATTCTATATAAATTTATTAGACCTAACCAGGAACAGCTGCGAAGAATAGAACTATATATAGGTCCCTGACAGGAATCGAACCTGCGGCCCTCCGATTCCGGAGCAGCGCTCTAACCAACTGAGCTACTGGACCTATAGTTGCATTTTTTCGCAGCTGTTCCTAGTTAGGTCTAATAAATGTATATAGAATTTCCACTCGATAGAATTTCCACTCTACAAAACCCTCCAACTATTATTATTGAATGGAGTCAGATACCAAAAAAATCTTGATATTTATCGGCTTTTACCTTAATATGGCAGTACCCTAGTATATATACATAAACTTGTGGTTAGAGCTCGGCAACTGGACTCTGTAGCTCATGCAGTTGGTCAAAGCGCTGCTCCGGAATCGCAGGGCTGCAGGCTCGATTCCTGCCAGGGACCTATAGTTACATTTTTTCGCAGCTGTTCCTGGTTAGGTGTGATAAATGTAT